GCCTGCGGTTCCAGATCTGAGTCCCCATCTCTGCGGTCTTCCTGAACACTGTCCTCCCGGGTTTTGCTGTGGGAGCCCCAAGCCAGCATCCTTCTTGGATGCCCAATTGGCTGCTCAACGTGCCGTCCGTGGACGGGAGCTCTTCATTCCCTGATCTCAGAAAGCGGCAATTCCACCCAAGCTGTGGGTCAGGAGGCCCTCTGGGTGCAGTTCTGCCTCTGAGCAAACCTGTCTGGTCTCTTCCCCACCCCTGGGATGTGCTTGATCTGAGCCCTGCTCTCTGCTGCCACTGCCCCCTGACCACTACCCTGCCCCCAGGTCAGACTTCTGCAGTGGTGACTACCGAAACCCCTCTGGGGGCTTCCCATTCCCTTGGAGTGAGATGCTGGGCTCATGTCTGCCCCAGGACCTTCTGCCTGCGATGTGGCACCCCCAGGCCCACGCTGACCCTGCAGCTCCGTTACCCCCTCTGGAACGGTCTGGTCATCAGCCCAATAGCAGCTGGCATCGACGTCCGTGACCGGCATCCTTGTCTCTTATGGGACATTTACTCGTTTTCACCTGTGCTGTCCGTCCCTCATCGGGACGGTGGTGCCACAGTGCAGACACCTGTCTGTGTGTCCGCCGGACTGCCGTGTGGTGCGTGGTGGCTGGCAAGGAGCAGCTGGTAGTTTGAAGCTGCTTTTCTTTGATTATTGGTGACTTTTAGCAATTTCATGTGTTTTCTTGGTCATTTGTGTTTACAACCCACTGGGAATAATTTCTCCCTTCCACTTTCCACTGAAAACTTTTCCTTGAAGGTCAAGTTTCTCCCGCTCTCTGCAGTGTCCCGTCGCTCCTTTACTAACCCCGTGACGGTTAGCTTCATGGTTAACTTGACCAGGCCGAAGCACTCAGATGTTCAGCCGAACACGGGTCCAGAGAGTGAAGGTATTTTAAAAATGTGATTAGCCCCTCAATCAGGAGACATCAAAGGGAGCAGATTGCCTCCACGTGAGGGTGGGCCTTGTCGAATCAGCTGAGAGCTTTGAGAGGAAAAAGGCTGAGGTCCCCAGAGGAGGAAGGGGCTCTGCCTTCAGACGCCTTCTGACCTGACCTGCAGCGCCCATTCTGGGTCTCCGGGCTGCAGGTCTGTTTTACGGATTCTGGGCTCACCAAGCCTTCACCGTCACGGATCCAGTTCCTTAAAATAACCCCCTATACGTTTATGTGACTTTAAAGCAGGACTGAAGACTTGCCTGTTGACACACACCATCTGCCACTGTCTCTCGGTCGTCGGCCAACCGCCCACCCACCTCTCACTCCTCTGTCTGTCTGGTCCCTCACTGTTCATTTTCCGGAGAGCTCTGACCAACACTCTTCCTGATGTCCGACGCTTTGGCCACTGGCTCCCCTCCTTTTTACTTCGTTCGTGGAGACTCTCTCCTGATAGATGTTTAATCTTTGGCCCGTAGGCAAATCTGCTGATCTTATTTTTTAAAGTTTCTGGCTCTGCTGTCTTTCTGAGAACGTAAATGCCTCCCCACAGTCCCTCTGGTCTGACCGTTGGTTCATATCGGTCAGTAGTGCTGGTCCTGAGTTGGCTTTTGTCCGGACGGTGGGAGCAGGGTCCTGTCTCCTGGTACTCATGGAGCCCGGCTGCAGCCATCCGACTTCCAGGGGGACCACAGCAAACCTGGGCCTGGCCATGGGTTGGGAATGGGTGTCGGGGCCTTGGCTGGAGAACAGAAGTCTGGTTTCTGCCCAGGTGCTGGGAGGTCTCTGTCCACAAGCCCGGGGGGCAGGACTGGCTCAAACCTTTCCCTCAGAGAGCCAGAGATGGGGCTCCGTCGGGCCCCACACAGGTGGCTGCGCGGTGAACTCCACACGGGGGACCCGGCTCGTCACGCCTTGATTTAGTGTGGGCGGGTGGCTGTGTCCTGTTTACCACAGCTGGAAACAGATGTTCCCGCCCAGGGCGGACGCGAGCAGGCGGACAAGGCTGTGGTGGCTCCCGGGAGCTGCAGAGCGTGCTGGGAAACGACCCTCGGCCTGCAGGTCGCCAGGCTGCCTTAGGGCGGGGGCCGCCGGGCCGGGGAAGGTCGAGAGCGCGTTGGTTGCTTGGAGGGAAACCCCCCGGGCCGGGCCCCATGGGGGCGGTCACACGCCTCCGGCAGACAGATTTCTGTAGTTGGGCCGTGGTCCGTTGGTGCTTATTTAGCACAAAAGGGGAAGCCGCGGTAGAAGGCCGCCCGTGGGTTCTTCCGCCGCAGGAACCCGCCGGACCGGCCGGAGGGGCTGGGGCTCACATGTGCTTTAGGGAAACGGAGTTCAGGGCACTCTCTAAGCATGTTTCCTTCACAGAAAGAAGCTCAAACACAGAGCCTCTGGCCCAACCAGGTGCCCACCATGCTCAGGGCAAGACGAGGGTCAGGGGCTTGGTGGGCGACCCCCTCCCGTTCTCCTGGGGCCTGCGGATGGGGCTTCATGGTGTCCATCCAAGGGTCTGGGAAAAGCCAGGGGCATCCTTGGGAACAGCCATGGTCCCACAGGGGCTTCTCCGGGCAAGGCTGGGCTGGAGGCTCAGGTCTGAAGGCCCAAGTGCGCCCTCCTCTGAGGCTGGCCCGACATTCATTCTTTCTTTCCGCTACTGCGGACGCTGGGTGTGTGCTTGGGGCCTCGAGGCCAGGCCGGGAGGTGGGCAGAACCGGGGGCACGAGGAGGGTGGTCCTGGGCAGGCTTGGGTGTCTGGGCCGGGTGGGCAGGCTGGGTTGGGGTGCAGGAGCCCCTACCTCTTTCCTGGTGTAAAGGGAACCCCTTGATGTGTTCCTGAGGCTCCAGGACACAGCTGTGTCCTCAGGACACGGCCGAGGGCTGTGGGGGACGCCTGGAGGCTGCCTGGACAGTGGGGAGCTCTGGGGGGTGTGGCATGCAGTGTGCAGGAGGACGGTGGTGATGACTTTGGGGTGACTTTTGGGGTCCCTGTGGCAGGAGCTCGTTTACAGAGAGGGCAGCGTGGGGGAGGGTAGGCCTGGGAAGATCTGTAAGTCGGCACCGCATGGGGGCGGACATGCCTACCAGGGTGGTCTTGTGCGGCGGGTGGCGCCCCTTCCCTCAGCAGCTGCTTGCCGAGCACCTACTGTGCGCTGGGCTGTGCTCGTGTGCTGGGGGTTGTCAGGGAGCAGCGGGAAACACTGTGCTCTCGGCGTGGACTTTCTCGGGGAGCAGAAAGAAGAAACCAAGCGTACGACGGGAAAGGGACGTGCAGAGCATGCGGACGGGGGTGCGGAGAGGAGAACCCAGCAGGGCTAGCAGAGGGCAGGGCGCGTCGCCGCCACGGCCCCGTGTGCCGATTTCTGGTGAATCGTGGGGGAGGCGAAGGCCTGAGAGGCTACCAAGGGCAAGGCAGGTAGGGTGGCCCCACAGGACGTGACCGTGGGCGGGCCCTGTGGACACCAGGGCGGTGGGTCAGCCGGTGCCAGAGACGCGGTGTCCTGGGAGTATGCCCAGGGCTGGGACAGCGGGAGGCGTGTAGGGGAGGGAGGGAGTCCGTTCTCAGAGAGTGGCCTGAGCCCCTGGAAGGTGGGGCCCTGGGCCCGCAGGGGTCAAGGTCAGGCATGGGCAGGTGCAGCCCCTCCAGAGGCTCTGGGACACAGTCTGTCAGGCTTTCCGGCTTCAGGAGCAGCACCCTGGGCTCGTGGCCCTGCCTCCACTGCACAGCCACAGGGGGCTGCCTTGCTGTGGGGTCACCCCGCCTTCCCCCATGGGCTCTGTGACAACACTGACCCTGTTCCGCCAGGACTTTGAACGCTGACCCTCATGCCTCTGCAAGTGTCTTTGCCCCGGAGGTCACGTGCAGTCTGTAGGGGTAACGCGTGCAGGTTTTTGGGGCTGAGTCAGCTGACCTCGGCCTGACGTCCAGCTGTGGCATTTTGGGTGTCAGGTGTGGGCTAAGCTCCAGTGGCGACATGTGGAGTTGAAGTCCGCGCGGAGGGACAGGGTGTGAGCCGGAGCCGTGAGCTCGGAGGGGGGTGGGTGGAGGCAGCAGGGGTGTCGCTGTGGACCGGCGGGGGTGGGGGCTGGGCTTGGCGGGCCCCCTGCACCCTTGCCCCTGGCCAGTGGGTGGGGAGGGCAGGAGACGCAGGAGTCATCCGCCGCTCTCACATGCCCACTGCAGCCACTCCCTCTCCTACAGCCGGGGACCCTGGGTGACAGCGGGACGGCCACTGCTGACCATGTGCTGAGCCGTGCCAGGGTCTTCTCTAAGCCCCCTTGGGCACGACGGCGTTTACTGCTCACCGCAGTCCACGTGGGAGTGTGCTCCTGCCCGCGGTGCCGGAGGGATGGAGACAGGAAGGTCAGGGTCGTACCTGCGGCTGTGGGGCACACAGGAAGAGCTCCGCGTGGCGGCCGTCCCGACTCCCAGCACGGAGGGCTGTCTTCTCGTGGTGCGTGTGAGCTTGTGTGGGCCCGTGTCTGTGTGCACACGTGAGCACAAAAGTCCCGCAGACCAGCATGTGTCCTGTGCTCATGTGCGCACATGTTTGTGTTCATGCGTGTGCACTCGTGTCAGCAGGGGCAGAAGGCACATGTGCGCTGCTTATGTCTGTGCACTTGTGCTTGTGTGTGAGCTGTGCTGGTGCACACACGTACGCAGGGGCGCCCCATGCGTGTGCCCGCGCGTGCGGGAGCACCACCTCCCATTCCCTTCAGGGCAGAGGGGCCCCACCAGCTTTTTCCCACAGGGGCGCCTCCCATGGCCTGCGCTGCCAGTGCCGCACCCCAGGCCGGTGTGAATCCCTGGGCGCTTGCCCGCAGCCTTCTGGGGCCTCTGACCGGGGCAGATGCCGACGACAGAGACAGGGAAACAGGAGGCACGGAATGAGCAAGGTTGTTTATGGGGCCGGCTGGCCGGTATAAAAGCAAGGGGCTGCAGTGAGGTCCGCTGGCTCAGGGGTGTGTGGGCTGTGACGCCCTCCTCTCTGGGCCTGGGGGCTGAGCTCTGGACAGAGGTGGACAGAGGTGTGAGGGGGGTGGGCGGAGATGGGGCTGGAGTCCGGGCTGGGCCCCTTTGCCCTTGGCGACAGCGTGGAGGCTGAGCGTCTACTCTCCTGGAGTCATTTCACCTGCAGTGAGAGCCCGGGGTCAGGAAGGGGGCGGGTGTGAGGGGGAGGGTCCTCAGAGGACAGGGCTCAGGCCCCCGAGTCCTGCCCAGCTGAGTCCGACGTGAGCAGGCGCCCAGCATCTGTTCCACCGTAGAGCCGGGGCGGCAGAGGGCGGGGGCCTGTGAGCTCTCGGGCTGAGGCCCTGGGCCTGCGCCTGTGGCCTGTGATGGCCGTACACTCCTCCTGCTCCCCGCAGGCTCCCTGGGCCGGCCCAGCCTGTCCCCAGCCCTGCACACAGTGCCGGCTGCCTTACCTTGATGAAGGTGACAAAGCCGCTGTAGAGCAGAGTGAGCAGGAAGAGGGCTGCAAACGTGGGCCACAGCCCGCCGGCGTCCTCCAGGTCCGTGGCGTCCCCCCTGCTCTCATCGTGGCTCTGGGGGGGTGGGGGCGTCATGGCCAGACCTGGGGAGCAAGGCACCGGTGAGGAGGTTCAGTCCCCCACGCAGGGGGAGCTGAGGGACAGGCCAGTGCTCTGGGACGCCCCCTCCTGACATGGTCCCTTCCGGAGTGGCCCCTTCCTGACGTGCACCTGTGAACCTTCTCCCTGCCCCGCGCCAGGGGCTCCCAGAGCCCGACAGGCCCAGCACCGAGCCGCACACACAGACTGCACCCAAACACCCTGGTACATGACAATCCGCATGACAAGTGTGTGCGGCAGGTGGGTGGCACTCAGGGGTGGACACACACGGGCAGGGCTGGCGGGGACCTGGGGCTGGGCAGGTGGGTGGCACTCAGGGGTGGACACACACGGGCAGGGCTGGCTGGTGGGGCTGGGCAGGGCCCTCAGAGCGACAGGGAGCCCTCCAGGGCTGCCTGGATGCCCACGGCTCTGTCCCCCGTGTCCCAGGGTGGGGCTCGTGTCCCTCTGTGCCCCTGCCCAGGGTGCGGTAAGGTGGCTGACAATGTCCCCTTTCCTGGAGTCAGGCCAGCTGGCCCTCTGTGCGTCCCCAGCCCTTTCGTGGCTTTAACTACGCATGTTTATAGGGTGTCTGTGGTGTCGTCTGCTAGCTCCTGCAGGCCAGACTGTCCTTCCTTTTCTCCTACGTCCTACCTGGAGGCTCAGAAATCCCTTTGCTGTGGGGCAAGGCTGGGCTGTGGGGGAAGGCTCGCGGCAAGACACCAGCAGGGAGGGCACCGTGATTCGCAGGGGAGGCCCCGGGGTGGCGCTGAAGAAGCAGAAGGGCTCCAGGTGTCGGCTGGAGAGCCCCTGCCTCTGTCTGGACCTGGGCGCACGCAGCCCTCGCACGAGGTGGGGAGCAGGACCAGCTCGGGAGGGGGCGTGCATAACTTTACAGCGACCCCGAGGAGCCCAAGTGTCTCCCAGCCGTTAGGGCCATCAGTGTGTCGGGCTTGTCCTGCAAGCACCACCCTGTTTGGGAGCAGGGGACCCGTGATGGGCTGAGGCAGAGGACAGCGTGTGGATGTAGGATGGGGGAAGACTGGGGGTCCTGTGAGGAGAGCAAGCAGCACCCCCGGAAGGAGCAAAGCCACAGCTGCAGGAGGAGGGGCTGCGACCCTGCGGAGCCACGGAGGACGGGCTCCTTCCAAGGGGTCCAGGTTGCCAAAACCAGCCGAACGGTTCCAGCCGCCCCCACCTGGCTGGAGGAGGGGTCCAGGGGATACGCACGGGACCCCAGCCGCCTCCCTGCGCAGGCCCACCTGCATGGCTCAGCCTTTAGTGGGCTGCTGAGGGCTGGGCCCTCCCAGAGGAGGGCTTTCTCCCCACTTGCTCCTGGGGGCCTGGGGTCCAGGCTCCCTCTACCCTCTGCAGGGCGTCCTGTCTCCAGACTGTGTGACCCTGGCAGGAGGTTCTGCCCCTGCTGGAAGATGTGGCACGCGTGGCCTCTGGAGGCTCTGAATCCGTGCGTGAGCACCAGACGCACAGTTGTAGGCACAGGGTGAGGGCAGTGCTGGGCCCTGGAGGGGCTCGGCCACCCCTGCTCGCTCACATGGCCCTGTTGCACCCCTGCCCTGCTCCACATGTGCTCAGAGGGGCGGGTGCTGGGAGAGGTCTGGCCACACACCTACTGCCACCACAGGCATAGAGCCACCGTCCGGTGCAGGGGCCACAAGGGCCAGGCTGTCTCATCTGAGCTGTGCTGTGCCTGCTGGGCAGGCCTGGCCTCTCCACATGCTGGGGTCTGCATGTGCTCAGATCTCCGGGTGTGCACACCCCCACACAGCCAGAGCCTGCAGCCTGGGGCTCTGCACGGGATGGCACATCAGTCTCCAACCTTGACTGAGTCTGTACGGGGGGCGAGTCTAGCCTCACCTGTGACCTCAGACCTGGAGAGGCCGGGTCTGCGCCTTTGGGCAACCCACCTACTGGGTGTAGGAGAGTAGAACAGGAGGAGTGTCGCCGTGGGCCTGCCCCTCAGGGAGCCACGGGAGGGAGGATGAGCAGGGCCAGGAGGCTGCTCTGGGGCCGGAGAACACAGACCCGGCCGGTGTCATTCAGAGAGAAAGGTGGGATATGAGCCATGACAGGAGGCCTGTAACTGTCCCTCAGAACAAGGTGTTACCTGAAACGTAACATGGGAAATTCTACCAGTTACCAAGCACGTTTCGACGTAGCCTCAAGAAAAACACGTCCTGGCAACGGGCCTCTGGGGGAGAGGACGACAGACGTCCTTGAGGGCCAGCAGCGGGGGACGCCCGGGCCGCTCAGGGCGGACGCCGCCTGCTCCATTTTCCCGGTATCTCCCCTTCCCTGGAGAGCACCTGTGGCTAATTCAATGATCCCGTTGAATGTGCAGCTCAACTGCTGACTGTGTCCTGCGTGATCGGACACATTCTGCCCTCCCTCTTGTTCATCCACAAGGCATATGACTGATGTTTGGCCTTCGGCTCCTCTTGGTTACAGTTTCTATCTAATAAAGTGGGACTGAGGAGTTGTTCGGGGCGACCGTCTCTTCTCCAGTCACCCCGGCTCCCTCTCTCTTGCAGCTGACTGGTTTGTGCCTCATTCTTCTCCCGTGCGCCGTCAGGAAGCGGCAGCGGCCCAGGGCAGGTGTCATCCAGAGAGAAAGCGGGGGACATGGGCCATGACAGGGGGCCCAGGGCAGGTGGCATCTAGAGGGAAAGGGGGCAATGCCGGGAAGATGGGTGGAGGACCAGGGGTCCCAGTCTTGGGCGGGCAGGCAGGGCCTGGCCCTGGGACTTTAGGGGAGGCCTACTGGGGCAGTCCAGGCATGCTGGGGGTTAAAGAGCTGCCCCCTCCCTGGGGCTCCCTACAGGCTGCTGCCCACCAGGCTGCCTCCAGGGCCAAGCCGGGCTGTTGGAGCTGTGCGGTCAGTGCTATTGTGTTGGAAGGATGCCCACTGCACGGGTTGGGCCGTTGGCAGGGTGTCTGGGCCCGTGGAGCCTGGCACAGCGGTCCCACATGCCCCCCACATTGCTGCCGTGGGCCTCCACTGGGCATCTCCCCCCACATAGCTCCCAAGGGCAGGCTGGCGCCAGGCCACCTGCCGCCTCTCCATGAGCAGGAGGAGGACGGCATCCTGCTGTCTGTTTGGCCTAAGGTGTCCAGCGCTGTCCCACCAGGGCTTTGCTGCACCTGATGGGGCCATAGGAGGTCTGACAAGGGCCTTAGAGGGGAGAGTAAGCCCTAAACCTCCCCCATGAGCCCCCACCCTGGTGGGCCTCCGTCCCCTCTGCCCTGTAGGCGGCCTGCAGTAGGGGCCTGTTGTGCCCCTGTGCTGGTCAGATGTCCCCGGGCACCGAGGCCAGCACCCACTTCTGGGTCTATCTGTTTCCTGAGGTGCGGCCTGATCTGCACCCAGCCGTGTGGCATGTCTTGGTGGGAAATGGCTGCTCTTTGGGGCCTGGCAGGGGTGACAGCCACCTTTCAGCCCTCCTAGTCCAGCGCATGGCGTGTAGACATGACAGGGTTTGGAGGGGCAGGTGTCAGAGATGCCGAGCAGGCCGGCGTGGAGCCATCGGGTGGGTGGCCCACGGTCTTGGCTGCAGCCCCAGGACCCGGCCGCTCGGCTCCTGGGAGGGCTGTCCCTCCACCCGCGCCCCGTGCTGAGAGGAGGCTGGGACAGAAGCTCTCAGGCCCGTGGGTGACTCACCAGTGTCCAGGCTCTGGCTGGTGTTGAACAGCTTCCGGGAGGCATCATGCCTCACCACACATGTGTAGGTGGCTGGGCCAGGGCTCTGGGCTGCGAGGACACGCAGGACGCTCCAGGTCTGGAACGTGCTGTTCCCAGGCTGGGCCACGGGGCGTGCTGTGGCAAATGCCGCAGGGTCCACCTCCGTGCGGCCCTTGAGCCAGGTGAGGAGGATGTCCGGGGGCGAGAAGCCCGACACCTCACACAGGAGCCAGGAGGCTGCTTGGCGCACGGTCAGGACGCGGACAGTGAGGCTGCTGGGCGCGGTGGCCGCTGCGGGAAGTCCGGTCATGCTGGGACCACCCGAGGCTTGGGCGAAGCTGGGGGGCCCAGGGAGGGCCGGTCCCCACCCCCTCGGTGTCTCCGTGTGGAAGGAGGGGTAGCCACTGTGCTGGGCAGGGGGTGCGCATGCGGGGGCCCCAGCCTCCCCGTCTCCTGGACCCCAGAGTGGGCCTCACCGTGCTGTCCTGGTGCTGCAGACGCCACCTGGGCCGGCATGTTGGGCTGGCTCAGCGTGCATGCGATGCTGGTCCCCGAGGCCCACAGGGACACTGGCAAGGCCAGGCGGCTGCTCAGGCTCTGGGAACCGTTGGCGTGCTCCTCCCGCAGCCCCTCCTCCACCGCCCTGCTGGGGGGCGCCCCGGCCACTGCCCAGGACACACGGGCCTCCTGCAGGTCATCCCCCACCGCCAGGCAGGTGAAGGTGGCCTCTCCCTGGAGCCACGGGCCCCGCAGGGGAGGCTGCAGCAGGTAGAGGCTGGGAGGGTGAGTGTGGTTCCGGCAGTCTGCCAGAGGAGAGCGACCTTGGTCAGTGGGGGAACCCCGATCAGCCGTCAGCGGGGGACCCAGGTCAGCGGTCAGCTAGGGACCCCGGTCAGCGGTCAGCAGGGGGCCCAGGTCAGTAGTCAGCAGAGGACCCAAGTCAGCGGTCAGCGGGGGAACCCAGGTCAGCAGTCAGCGGAGGAACCCAAGTCAGCGGTCAGCAGGGGGACCCTGGTCAGCGGTCAATGGGGGAGACCCAGTCAGTGGTCACTGGGGGACCCCGGTCAGTGGGGGGCACACAGACCCTGCCTGGGAGTGGTGGTGTGGGCAGTGCCCGGCCCAGGTATGCTATGCTCCCCAGGGCAGACCTCCCCTTTGCTGCTTCCTGGCCTCCCACTGCCTGGCTAGGACTTCCCCTGGGTTCCCCAGTCCACTCTTCCCCTCCTCCCTCCACTCTGTGCCCCAAGGAACTGGCCTCTGAGCGTAGTGTCCACTGGGCTTCCTGACTCTGCGGCTTGTGTCTGGGTGTGGCTGGTGGAGGACACTAGGAGGGAAAGGGGGGTGAGACTGGTGGAACTCACCGGGGCTGTGGCCTCCCGGGGCCCCTCAGCCTTCTTGCTCTCCGGGGTCCAGAGACCTACCCACACCTGCTGCTGGCCCTCGTCGGGCTCCTGAGTGGTCACGCCACGGTGACGCCTACAGTTAGGGTGAGGACGGCCGGAAGTTATCGGGCCTTGGGTTTGGGACAGACGGGGGACCTGCAAGTTTGCTCTGTAGAGGGTCAGCAGTGAATACTTAGGTTTGCCGTTACAGGGTCTCCTCTCCACCCTCCCCACCCCCATCTTGCTAAAACTGCTCAGGTTGTGGGAAACAGGCTAAGGGCGGTGGGCCGTGCGGCCCTCCCGGGGGGACTGGGCTTGTGGGGCCACACACCCCAGTCTGTCCCTCAGATGCCATACGCCCCGGAGGCCTCTCCCCGGAGCTCTGCCCGGGCCTGAATCCTGGCCAGCCAGTGGACGCGCCCCACAAGGACAGGGACTGGCGAGTACCCTTGCCCTGAGTCGGGGGTATTTGGATCCTTGCTTGGAGGGCGGACCCCTCTGGGTCTGACTGGGCTGTGCTGAGCCGGGCACTGGTGGTGGTCGGAGATGGGGTTGTCATGGGTGGGGTGGGCTGTGGAGGGGCCACGGAGGGGCCACGGCAGACCACAGCCTCTGCCCCAGCATCCCCAGGGCTGGTGCTGGAGCTGCCGTTCTCTGAGAGCATGGCTTGCTGCCCGCTTGGAGGAGCGAGCGCTGGACCTCGGCCGAGGGGGAGGCAGGGTGGCTGTGGCCCCAAGTGGCCCTTGGAGAGGCCCCTGGGTTGGGGGCAGCTCACGGAGAGGGCCTCCGGCTGCAGGACCCCTGGGTCCATGGTCAGGGGTGCTGAGCCTCAGGTGGCATGCTACAGCTCTGTCAGGGCCACGGGGCCAAGTCCACCCTGCTGGGCATGTCGGCCGTGCGTCCTCACGTGAGGCTCTGGGACAGGCTCCCGTCTGAGCCCTGCCCCTGGGCCCGGTGAGTCCCAGTGCTGGCCCGTGGCCCCACCCCGTCTGCTGTGCTCACTGCAGGTGTGTGGGGGTCTCCTGTCCACTAGGGGCCTGAGGGGGTGTCTGCTGGGACCCAGTGCGTGGTGTGGTCAGTTCTCTGCAGACACTGCCCCCAGAGAAGTCGCGGAGGGCTGCCCGAAGACGTCCGACTAAGGGACAGGAAGGCAGGAGGGCTCCTCACCTGGGACGCTGGGTGTGGAGGAGGTCTCCAGTGGAGATGGCCCGTGAGCCGATGGGCCGGTCTTCCCTTCCCAGGACTCTGAAGTCAGAAGGAGAGTGGCAGGGGAGGGTCAGACGGTGTGTGTCCGGGTGTGGGGGGGCTGCCGAGTGGTGGCTAGGAGGACGGGGATGGCTGAAGGAGGGGCGACCGGCCACGGGCGTGCTGGGCACGGCTGCCTGCATCATCCTCGGGCTGGAAGGTGCGGGGCACCCTGGAGGACGACTTCGGGGGTCTGGGGCCACCCACCTGGCCATGGGATGGGTTTCTCCAGCGGGAGGCCGGAAACGATGGCTCTGCAGAAGTGCGGGTCCGGCTTCCAGGTGACCAACAGGAAGGACAGCTTCGTGTGCTTTGGGGCCCCCAGCGTGATCAGGGTGGTCATCTGCGCCCCCAAGCTCGAGGTGACCTGCACGGACTCTGCGGAGGGTCCTTGTGCCAAGCAGGCCAGGCCTACGGAGTCGCCTTGCTTTGGGGCTTTACATTCTGAGACCAAGGGGAACAGATGCAGCGTTTCGGTGTCTGGAAGACAGACAGGGCTTGTGAGGCTGGGGCCGCGGGTTTGCAGCGTGGTGGGGGAGGGGCAGGGTGTGGCCGGTGGCAGCCGTGGCCCTCTTGTCCCGCAAATGCAGCGAGGGGTGCCCCCCGCTGCGGAGCCCGTGCTGCCCGGCTGAGGGGCCCGGTTGTGTTTCACCCCCGGGACTCTGAGCGCTGGCCCTGGGCCTTCCCGCAGTTGCCCTGGGTCCCCTCTGCCTGCAGAGAGGGGCCTTGGAACTGGGCTCTGGCTCCCTGGCCAGCGGGGTGGGCTCAGACGCTGCCCTCCTCGTGACTGCCCCTGGGGCTCTGTGGCTTAGAGTCCAGGCCTGTGAGCCTTTTGCCCTCATGGGAGGCCCTTGGCCATGTCCTGGGGTGCGGGGGTAGTTTGCCCTGCAGTGTTCTGGGCCCAGGGGTGGCAGGTCCCTGGACGAGGCTCCCTGGTGGGCCGGTTCCAGTGCCCTGGTCCTCTCCTTGGGGACCCGGCTGGCCAAGGGCGGCTGAGCAAGTGCGGGGTCCCTGCCTCTGTCCCTGATGGCTCCCTCACCAAAGTCTGTGGTCCCTGTTCTCTGCCGAGCCCCCAGGCACCATGCTGCCACCGCACGACGGGACATGCCCGTTCTCCAGCCGGCCGTCTAGGCCATTGCCTTCGCCCACTCCACAGGCCCCCTGACGCAAGACCCATCTGTCTGTCCTCCCAAGCACCCAGCTGGCCTGCCCCTGCCTTTTCCAGGGGTTCCCCAGCAGGACTGTCTGCCACGCACGTCCCAGGGGCCCCACTCCCCATACAGCGTCCCCGGCACACCCCTGCGTCCTGCCAGGACCTCCTGCACCCTGCGGGGGAGATGCCAGGCGTGGGTGGGCTTGAACCCTGTGCCTCAGATCGTGACCACGTTTGGAGAGAAAGTCCTAGTGGGCGAGTTAACGATTCAGGGAGGTCCTGCTGCTGGAGGGCAGCCTCCGGCGCAACGTGCCTGTCCTCACGAGAGGGGACACGCAGCACACGTGCCATGGACAGATGAGCTGGGGGTCGGAGGGAAGCGGAAGCCAGGAAGGCCGGGGCCGCCCACGACCGGTGGCTGCTGGGACCCCTGCCCTGCCCCAGCGGGAACCTACCCCCCACATCCCGATCTGGGGGTCGCGGCCCCCAGAACGGATGCCACCGATGCCTGCTGTTTGGCGCCCGCGGGAAACAAAGGCAGACATGGGACCAGGAGTGGACTGTGCTGCAACAAACGGCTGGAGACGCGCAGGTGGCCTCGGAGCCCCGGGGAGGGCAGGCACTCGGCTCTCAGGTGCATGGCAGGAAAAGCTGAGGGGTTCCGCAGGCCTCTGGCCGCACATGGGGGCGAGAGGGGAGTCTGGGGAGGACCGAGGCGGGCAGAGCTGGGCAGACCTCATGTCCGCGCTCGGGGAGTGCTGCTGGGCTTTGCAGGCACGGCCGGGGCACGCGGCGGAGCGTCCACACAGCGCAGCGCAGACGGCTGGCTGCCGTCCCTGCCCCAGAGAATGTGGGAGGAGGCGGCACCCAGGAGGCCGGACTGGACGCTTCTGGAGGGTTTCTGCCCGCTGGCCGCGGGGCCGGGGTCCGGCTGGCTCCTCCCGCCAGGGATCATGCGTGCGGTTCCTTCAAGCGTCTGAGAGGAACCAGGAGCAGCGCATGGTTTGCCAGGACGGCCGACTTGCCCCACGAACGGCGAGGGATGCCGACCGGGTGTCTGAGAATTTTACGTAAACGGGCTTGCCCGGCGGAGGCAGAGGAGGGCTGGCGCTGAGGGCAGAGCTGCGGACCCAGAGGCCAGGGGGGCTGCTGGCAGGGGCGCGGGGGGCCCGGGTACCGGGGTGCAGCCGCTGCGTAGTGGGGCCTGAGCCGCTCAGGCTCCAGAGACAGAGCGCAGAGCCATGCCGCATCCTCCAGAGACTCGTCCTCTGCTGGGGGCCCTGCTGGACCCGGACCCCTGACTCGGCCCCCCTGCAGGGATGGGCCTGGGCACCTGAGGCTGGCCCGGCCGTCCGGGGGGCACGCAGCGTGCGGGGCCTCTGTGCCCGGGGCAGTCACACCGCGTCTCGCCTCTCCCTGATTCAGGTGCTCCTGAGGCGCGGCTTTCAACGCGGGGCCGCCGCGCTCGGGGCGACTCCTGGAGTTGCTGGGCCCGGCGTTCTGCACAGGGGAAGGACAAGAATTTCGGGGGCTGGGGGTGGATGGTTAGGGCTTGGGTTGAGAGCCCTGGTTTACGTACGGAAATCCTGTCGCCCTGGTGCCCTGGCGTGGGGCCTTGCTTGCGAACGGGGCCACGGAGGCTGAGACCTTAGCCCCACCGATGAACTCCCTTATCAAAGGGGGGTCCGGACACGCGCAGTGGGACAATGCCACGGCCCAAAAGCAGACAGCGCGGAGACGCACCTACAAGCCCGGGCGGCCGCCAGGAGCCCAGTCTGGAGCAGACTGTCCCCCTCTGCCCCTTCCCCACCCACTGCCACCCAGACCCTGGTGGCCACAGCTCCACGGCAGGTGAGTGAGTCCCCGATGCGAAGCTGCATCCCTTTGCTGCACTCCCCTCTACTGGGGCTCCCGGCCGTGGCACCGCCTGCTCCTCGCGTGTAGGGACGGGGACACACGGAGGCTCCCCGCACGCCGTTTCCTGGCAGGCACTCTCCTCCCCGGCTCGCCAGACGCTCCTGCTCCCGTCCACACACCCATCACGGTACAGCCCACTGGCAGGATGAGTGCCCGGTGCTCCCGCCAGTCCTCGGTCCCACACAGCTCAGCCCCACGAGGGGTGGGACCCTCCTGGGGGCCGGCCAGGTCGGCTGGGTTGGAGATGGGACCGTGCGTTGTGTGGGGACCCAGCGGCGGAGGCCCCTGTTGGTCACACACAGGGACCAAGCCCAGCTCCCGGTTCCCACCACGTCTGGGAGGTCAGGCCTGGGACAGGGTCCAGCACCCGTCCTTGAGCAGATGGGACGAGCCGGAGACGCTGGGTCCCACCACAGGGCCCCCTTCCCTGACACGTCCCCTGGCAGGCCTGTGCGCAGACAGTCCTTTCCCACAGGCCCTGGACACACGCGGCACCCAAGGAGCACTTTGGGACAGAAGCCTGCACAGCAGAGCAGTTTCGTAAGATAAAATATACACGTTTATTGGAAGGCGACACGCGGGTACATTGCACAGGCCGAGTCTTTGAGCTGGAAGCGGGGGGGGGGAGATCTAAGGACGCGCTGATGGGCTCCGCGGGCTGCCCACCCCGGGTCCACGTCCCGGGCCTCTGAAGGTCTCCGCGGGCCGGTCATTTCACCTGCAGACGACAGACGGCGTGAGATGTTTTCCCGCTGCCCTGGGCTGGATGCCCCCGCCCCCTCCTGACCCGGCCCTGCTGTTACCTTGAACAGCGTCACTGTGGTGCTGTAGAAGACGCTGAGGAGGAAGAGGACGATGAAGGTGGACGTCACGGTGTTCAGGTTCTCGAAGTCTTCCTCCTCAGCGCTCACCTCTCCCTCTGCAGGGAACACAGCACAGAGCGGTCAGGCCACGCGGCAGGGAGGCCCGGCCCCAGAGCCACCCTTGGGCCCCCGAGGCTGCCCCTGGAGGGCTCGGCGGGGCAGGGATGGTGGGAGTGGGTGTGCGTGGCTCCTGACTGGTCCCACAGTCTCCTCAGCACTTGCTTTGGGAGGCCGAGGGCTCCTGGGCTCAGTCGGGAGGCATCGAAGCCAGGCGTTAGCTGGGCCCTGGGAGCCCGAGACAGGGGTCAGGTCGAGGCAGAACACAGGCTCAGCAGAGCAAGGCCGACCCGAGCACCCTGTGTGGGAGCCGTGGCGGGGCAGAGAGCACAGCAGAGCAGCACAGACGCAGGGGTGTGGCAACACAACACAGCAGTGGGGTTGGGGACCACTGCCAGGGCTGCCCGGTGGAGAGCCAGGGAGCAGGGCCTTCTGCCGGCTCTGGTCTGGAGGGGGTGCTCTGCCCCTGGCCGCCGAGGCTGGAGAGGCTGGCAGCGGGGACCTGGTGTGTGTCTGGGCCTGAGGGGGAACCGCCTCATTTCCTAGTGAGATTCCCACTCGCTGTCTCTCGGTCTTGGAGGGCATGGCCCCTGGGAGACCCCGTGTGGGGCCCTGGCCAGCTGTCTGCATTGCCAGGCTTCGGGGACCAAGGGCTCAGATAGAACCCTGAGGCTCTAGGGAGGGTGACCCTGGGGTGGACTAGGTGGACAGGCTGAGGACCCTCAATGGGGTCTGGAGCCCACTGGGCCCTTTGGGGCATCTGCAGCTCAGGTTCCCAAGGGTCCGGTGTGCAGGGAGGGTCTCGGAGGCAGCCCAGAGGGGGCCGTGCTGCTGTGGCAGAGGGGGGTCCCACTCGGACCCTTGCCCCTCCCCGCCCACCAGGTCTGTACCCCTCACGCCTGCTCCTGGGGCCTCATTTCCCACTATTTCCAGGGCTGGGTGTTTGCAGGGGCTCTCCACTCAGACCAGGCCCTCTGCAGTCACCCCTGCAAGGAGAAGCGTCCAGGGACAGCCTCCCTGCCTCTGGGGCCGATGTCCAGGCGCTGGGGCTTTGTCAGAAGCAGCCCGGCCCCGTTCACCTGTGGGCACTGGGGTTCTGCCGCCTTCAAGAGCCTGGGCATGGGCAAGGACTTCCCTTGGCCTTAGGCCTGGGAATGGTGGCCGCAGCCAGAGTCCAGACCTTCAAGCTGAGACAGAGGGACAAGCAGAGCTTGGGCACAAAGCCCGCAGAGAGTGACACAGCCGGACAGGGCAGCAGTTCCTGACAGAGGGACCCCGGGTGTGCAAGGGCTGGCACCTGCGTGTGCAGGTGTGTATACATGTGTACACGTGTGCGTGTACGTGTCCGTGTGTGCATGTACGTGCAGACATGTGTCCATGTGTGTGTGACTGTGTGTGCACATGTCCTTGTTTCTTTGTGTGCACATGTCTGTACGTGTCCGCGTGTGGATAAGCGAGGACGTTTGTGCATGTGTGTACCCGTGTGCAGCTGTGTGCATGTGTGTCCACATGTGTGAGTGTGTGTGCACGTGTGTAGACGAGGGCATGAGTCTGTATGGGTCCACGCATGTGGGTGTGTGCACACGTGTGTGTCCGTGTGTCTACACGCAGGTGTGTCCATGTCTGCATCCACATGCGTGCATCATGTCTGTGTGTGCAGGTGTGTGTGTGTTGCACACTTGTCGTGGGAGCAGCTATAGGAGTGGTGAGCGTGGCCTCAGTCCGCAAGGAGCATGGGGACTTCCAGAGGCTGGGTGGGGGCAGGGACGGTGGTGGAGGGTGGGCTGGGGGCGGGGACAGCACAGCTGCGGCCCCGGCAGGCGAGAGCATGGCTTACTCAGGAGGAGTGTCTTTCGAATGGATGTTTTTATTTCTGATTTTGATAAAAGGTCACACGTTGCCCCATTGACAAGGTTAGTGGACACACACGCACACACAGCGACGGGTCAGCCAGGGGCTGCGGATCCACCGGCCGGGACCCAGTGGCCCAGCGGTCAGTAGCAGGTGCCGGCCGTGTCAGACAAGACCAGGGACACATTGTAGAGGGTGGGTTTACCGGTGGACTTGTCCACGCTCCTCTCGGTCACCATGTGGGGCAGGGCCTCATGGCCTACTACACAGGTGTAGGTCTCCCCAGCGCTCCAGTCCTCCTCGCTCACAGTCAGGGTGCTGTGCACAAAGTAGAGGCCGGAGGCTTGGGGCTCGGGCGTCGGAGCACTGGTCACATAGGTGTTGGGGGGCACGGGCTGCCCCTTCTGCAGCCATTGCACAAACACGTCTGGGGGAGAGAAGCCCTTCACCAGGCAGGTGACCGTGGCTGACTCCCGTAGGCTTAGCTGCTCCCGGCTTGGTGGCAGGACGTACACAGATGGCATGTGCTTGGGGACCCCTGTGGGAGGAAAGATGGGGTGAGCTCGGGCCGGGGCCGCTGGGGAAAGACCCCCAGAGGCCACGGGAGAGTCCCGCGGCAGAGGGGGCACGGGCCCTACCCTTGGGCCTGGAGATGGTCTTCTTCAGTGGCGAGGGCAGGTCCGTGTGGGTCACCGTGCAGGTGAACTGCTCCCCCGACTCCCAGTCCTCCACACAGACCGTGGCCTCCCCCATGGCGCTGAAGGTGATGTTGGGGTGGCTCTCAGAGATGTTCGTGTGCGTTTTCAGAGGCTCGCCATTCTGGCGGGTCCAGGAGATGGTCAGGCTGTCGTAGGTGGCCAGGTCTGTGACCAGGCAGGACAGCTTGGCCGACTTGGTGAGGAAGATGCTGGCAAAGGAGGGTGGGATGGTGAAGATGCTGATGCCTACGGCTGCGTCTAGGGCAGGAGAGAGTTTGTGTCAGCGACCGGCTGGACGCGCGGCCAGGCAAAGGCGGGGATCTTCCCCAAGAACATAGGATGCGTTCACCCTGAGCCGTCCTGAGCCCCAGGGACCCACCGGAGAGGAACGCTGGGCCCTACCTCCCAGCCCTTGGCCGCTCCGGGAAGCCAAGGCTCAGGGAGGGGCCAGCCCAAGGGGACGCCCGCGCATGTGAGGGGTCCCAAGCCCGAGGGGCTGCCCTGGGGCCCAGCACTCACTGGAGGTGCACACGGAGGACACGTTCTTCTCGGAGGTCACGCCGCTGTGCTCCACTTGGCAGGTGAACACGCTCTGGCTGAGCCAGGCGCTCTCGGTGATGGTCAGCGTGCTGAGCACTCTGTAGGTCACTGTCCCGGACACTTTCCCGTCAGCCTCCACCATGCCAGTGTCGATGCCCGACGTGAGCTGCTTTCCGTCACGATACCAGGACACGGAGATCTGCTTGGGGCTGAAGCCCCTGGCCTGGCACAGGAGCTGGGACGTGCGCTGGCCGTTGCCAGAGAAGGCGTCGCGGGGCGGGATGAAGACGGTCACGTTGGGGGGCAGTTCTACGGTCACTGCAGGGAGGGACCAGGCGTCAGCCCTCAGTCTCCCCTGCCCACCCAGCCACGGGAGGAGGGCCCGGCTCTCACCTGGGAAGGGCACTTTCACGGATTTGTTACCCTTGGTGTGCTTGACCTTGCATGTGAGGTAGTCCTCGGAGCTCTGGAGGACGTCCACGGAGGGCAGGAACACCTGAGAGGTGGCCACATACTTGCCCTCTCTCAGAACCGAAGGGAAGTTCTTGATGTCCCGGCTGCCGACCTCACTGTCGTTCTTGTAGGTCCAGGAGAAGGTGATGGCGTTGGGCAGGAAGTCCCCGGCCAGACAGCCCATGGCCACCAGGGTCTCATCGGACTGGAAACTCTCACAGGTGATGAGGGGGAAGAGGTTTGGAGGGGATGGGTTCTCTGAGGACCACAGAGGGACAGGAGGTGAGTGAGAAGATGTCTTCTCCCCACAATCCGCCAGGCGGGCCAGAGCCAGCTCCATGGCCCCCTCATCCCACTGCCACAAGGGCTGGCCTCACAGCCTTCCCAGCCTTGACCAACAGTGCAGCGGGCGGCTGGGCTGAGGCCGAGTCCAGCTGGGAAGGGGAGGTTCAACGCCCCCCACCCAGCTGCAGAAGCCTAGCTCTGGACTTTTGGGAAGCTGGGGTCTCCGTGGCCTCGCGAGCACTCTGGTACCCTGGCTCCCGGCTCCGGATGGCCCGGCCAGCGCTGCTTTCCCTCCGAGACACGGGAGCCAGGCTGCTGTGCTCAGCCCCAAGCCCCATGAGCCGTCTGTGACGCAGACAGCATGGAGGGGAGCCCCCTGGCCAGTGTGGCTAGGGTTAGGGGACGGTGTATATGTGACAACTTGGACCCACACGTGGCCCATTGCAGGTGAATCCAGCCCAAACTAGGACATCAAGCTCCTCTGAGCCAAGACAGCTCAGCCAGTCCATTTTGGCTGGACCAGCTCAGTGACCCTGTTTAATCAGCCCAATGCACCCAGCCTGGTCCAGCTCAGCCACCTCAGCTGAGCCCAGATGAGCCCCGTTCAGCCCAGCCTACCTCACCCAGCCTGGGTCAGCCCAGCCCAGCCCAGCCCAGCTCAGCTCACCCAGCCCAGTTTAGCTCAGCCCAGTCCAGCCCAGCTCACCCAGTCCGGTTCAGCATAGCCCAGCTCAGCCCAGCCCAGCCCAGCCCAGCTCAGCCCAGCCCAGCCCAGC